TTGGATACTGGAGCAGAAGGCTCCTCTTTCTTCACCCAGAGTAACTAGTGGTTAGGAACTCTGATCTAGGGGTTAGCAGCCCAGTGAGTAACCCACTAGCCACCAGGTCTCCCAGTTATTCATGTACCCTGTGAGGAGATGCAAAATGTTAAACTGCATGGATAATGCATGCAGAAATAAGTTTTCCTAAGAATTGAAATTGTGATTGACTTGGTGATTTTAAAAGGGTGAAGTGGTTGTAATTACATTCTGAAGCTTTACACTCATTTTTTTTTTTTTTTTAGTTTTCAGTGATGAGTTTAAGGAATTGCACAGGAAGGAGTGAATGAATAGTGAGCGCCCAGAAAAACTGTTCTACAAGAGACAAGAACTCAAACAAACTAAAATTCAAAGAAAACAGAGATTCAGCTTTTAAAAGAATTCACCATGGGAGTGGGGAGTGACTGGAGAAGTCTTTAGGGGCAAACCCCTCTTACTTTTCAAGATTCCTGGTGAAGGTGTCTAACAAGAATACCACAGGGTCAGATCAAAGCCACGTGGCTCTGTCTACGCGTAGTTCCAGGGGAGAAATTTTCCAGGTCTGTGCAGCTAAAAAAACAAGCAGGCAGCCTTCCCACTTTCGCCAGCTCTGCCACCTAGTGAGGGCGGGCCACCTCTCCCCACAGCTGCTGGCGATGCCATGTGACCAGGCGCTGCCAACTAACTCCTTTTATGGTGAGAGGCTGGCTGCTTCGCGGTTTCAACCACTCAAGGTCCCTCCCACCCTCGTCCGCTGCACTCACCCAAGTCTGACCCGGTGGCACAAGGCCCCAGCGCGCCTATAGACACACACCCACCTTCCCTCACTCACCACTCCCCTGCCTGGTGTTGCAATCACCTCCCTCCTCCTCAATGTGAATAAAAAGAAAATCTCATTGCCATCTAGTCAATTCTGACCCAGAGGGACCCTACAGAGGTGCTCCAAGGGAGAGTATCAAGTAGTTGCCCATCCTTCCCAAAACCTGAAAGCTGCAACCTGCAGGCAGAAGGTACGAGAATTAGCAGAGCTGGGAACTGGTTTCAAGCGCTGGTCCCAGCGGTGCACAGAAGCGGCTAACCAGATGCCCCGGGGAGCGTGCGGGCTTCCTAGGAGCCCTGCCGAAGGCATCCGTGCACCTTCAGCTAGAAAGAATGCAAGGCACCCGAAGCTCGGCGACCCAGGGCCAGGGGCTGGGCGAGAAACGCTATCAGCCGCCCCCCGGCGGCGCTGCGCGACTCGGCAGCCTGAGGCCCCGCCTTCCGCTCGCCGCTAGCCCCGCCCGCTTCCTGCTGGAGCTGCGGCCCTGGGCAGCGGGCGACCGAACAACGCCACGCTTCTTCCCACCCAACCAATGGGAGCCCGAGCCGCGCGCAGCTTGTCTCCGCCCTCGCCAGGGAAATTTGAAGCTGGCAGAAAGTTTGTACAGAGGCTGGACCGGCCGAGCGGAGCTCGCAGCTGGCCTGTGGGAGAGGAAGATGATGATTAGCCCCACGTTAGAGCCCCAGGTTGAGAGGACCCTGAGTCTTCCCCAGGGCACCTGCAGCTGCTGCGCGGGCAGCCGGCAGCCCCGGTAGCCGTCCGTGCTTGCGGGCGACGGAAGAGGAAGGCTGTCGAAGCCAGGGCAGAGCCTCCGCGTCGCCTGCGCGCGCGGCCGCGCACCTGAACGGACACCTGCGGGCACCACAAAGCTGAGGCTTACGTTTGCGGGGGGGAACAAGTAAAGCAAGAGATCCCAAAGCGGCCTTCACTGTACCATTGCACTGCCCTCTCCAGTTCTTCAAAATGTTTGAAAGCTGGCCGTTCTGAACCCAGTTCCGGAAACTCGGCAGCCGCGGAGGCGCGGCTCTGCGGAGGCAAAGGCTTGGCAAGCTCCGGACTGAGCTGGAGGAGGGCTGCGTGGAGGTGGAGGTTCGTCCTGCACGTCAGAGAGGCGATCCTCTGGACCCACGAGGCGGGCCCAGCCGCTGCAGGTGAGATGGGGCTGGGCGCGGGGCAGAGAGCGCGGCGACCCGGCGCTCCCCAGGGCAGTCCCTGGGGCGCGGGCGCGCGCTCCAACCGGTCTGCAGCCAGCGACTCGTTTCAATGAGCATTGTATTGACTCGGGTTGTGTGGGCGCTAACAATAGGGAGCCACTTTCCCTTGGGATGAGCTTTGTTCACCCTGGCGGGGGTGTGGGGGTGGAGAGGAGGTTAAGGGCAGCACCAACCTGTAAAGATGACTTATCGGTTGGGTGGTGGTGCTTTGGGCAGAACGTCTCGGCAGCCGGCGATTTGGGTAGCCTCACTTGGGGAAGGGCGGGGCGTGGGGACTGGAGTGACTTCAAGCTCCCACCTAGATGCGAGCTGTTCCCACGCCTCGTCCGCGTGCTGTTGGTGGGGAACGGAGGGGACACCTTCTAAGTGAACGTTTCCACTCACCATGCCTTTGCCTCCGCTACTCTTCCCCTAGACCCAGCCGCGCACCCCCGCCTCGCACCACCGGCTACCGCCATGGCCACCCCAGGGGCCAATGCGTCCGCCTCCTTTACCTCTGACCGTCCGAGCAACCCAGTGACCATCCCGGCGGTGATGTTCATCTTCGGGGTGGTGGGCAACCTGGTGGCCATCGTGGTGTTGTGCAAGTCGCGCAAGGAGCAAAAGGAGACCACCTTCTACACGTTGGTGTGCGGGCTGGCCGTCACCGACCTCCTGGGCACGTTGCTCGTGAGCCCAGTGACCATCGCCACCTACGTGAAGGGCCAGTGGCCCGGGGGTCAGGCGTTGTGTGAGTACAGCACCTTCATCCTGCTCTTCTTCAGCCTGTCGGGCCTCAGCATCATCTGCGCCATGAGCATCGAGCGCTACCTGGCCATCAACCACGCTTACTTCTACAGCCACTACGTGGACAAGCGGCTGGCCGGCCTCACGCTCTTCGCCGTCTATGTCTCCAACGTGCTCTTCTGCGCGCTGCCCAGCATGGGCCTCGGCAGCTCCCGGCTGCAGTACCCGGACACCTGGTGCTTCATCGACTGGACCACCAACGTGACGGCGCACGCTGCCTTCTCCTACATGTACGCGGGCTTCAGCTCCTTCCTCATCCTTGCCACCGTGCTCTGCAACCTGCTCGTCTGCGGCGCGCTGCTCCGCATGCACCGCCAGTTCATGCGCCGCACCTCGCTGGGCACTGAACAGCACCACGCGGCGGCCACCGCCGTGGCGGCCACCGCCAGCCGAGGCCACCCGGCCGCCACCTCGCCAGCCCCGCCGCGCCTCCTGGACTTTCGCCGCCGCCGGAGCTTCCGCCGCATCGCGGGCGCCGAGATCCAGATGGTCATCTTGCTGATCGCCACCTCCCTGGTGGTGCTCATCTGCTCCATCCCTCTGGTGGTGAGTGCCTGGCCCGGGGCCTTAACCCTCCCCTCTCTTCCTCCCCACGGAGCTTTTGCGGCTGATTTCCTTGGCTGTTGTTTTACCTCCTCTGAACCCAGCTGAACCCAGAGCAGGAGAGGGCCCGACCTCCCCTCCGCCCTGCTCCTACCCAGACAGGTGCATTTCCCACCCACCTGGAGTTTCTTTCACCCCCGGAAGCCTGGTTTCCTTTCTCCCCCGTGGGTAGCCCCAACCCCTAGCTGGCTGCCTGATGTTGGCTTGGAGCCAGCCAGCAACATCCTCTCACCGTCCCACGTAGAGGGGAAGGCACAGTCGTGTGACAGGCCTGTCCTCCACACCGACGTGAACCAACAAGCCTAGACGGCCATCTCTGCCTTGTACATCGTTCCTTTGGGAGAGTGGGTTTGGGGAGATTTGATTTACCTAGAATGTTAGGCGTTTGGAGCTGGGAGAGCTTTGGGCAGCCTTGAAGTATAAGTATAGAGTGCCATTTTCGAGAAACTGAAGTGGAGACCTCGTTGGATTTATTGCCAAATCAAACCCCCAGAGCTCTCGGTAAACCTTGACCTACCTGACTCCCTTAGAAACCTATCATGTTTAAGACTGCATCCTGGCTCTCCCTTAGAAAACTTCTCATTTGGGCCTTAGTCCAGTGTCCCAGTTCAATGTTTGGGCCCACTTGGTTCTCATAGGCCAACACCTTCTTTAAAAGTACCTTTGAACAAAAGACAAGCAAAAGAATTCCTTTGGATTAATTTTGCAAATATGATCAGCAAAAAGATTCAAAACCTGCCTAATTACCTACACTGCGTGTGTCTTAAACAGAATGTACTAGAAGCAGGCAAGCAGATAAACGTTACTGTTTTTGTCTAGAAAAGCAATCTGCCCTGTCTTTTCCATCTCTCAAAACTTGACATTTCTGGAAATTCAAAACTACCAGCTCAGAAAGAGCTGGCTTTCTGAGTTGGCGGTCATTGAGAGCAAGAGAAAATGTATTTGCAGCCCCATTTTTCCTCTCTGTCCCTTTTTAAGGCTGACCAGTGACCTTTCTTTGTAAAAATACTACCTCTGATAAAAAGTGACTGAGAAATGGAAAGAACTTAGAAGTGGCTGGGAGCCAGCGTACAGTAGCTTCTTGCCAATTTGTTTTAAACAGAAGTAAATACAAATGGCCAGAGAAGCCTTTAAACCATTCCAGGACCCTGCGTGATTTACAGAGTTAAGTCACACTGGAGCTACATAAATGTATTTTACTGTCTGTAACGGCACCTCAGAATCAAGCGAGATTTTGAACGAAACAGTCCAGCTCCTGCAGGAGGGGCCCCAGTTCACTGGCGTCTGTCTTAGGTTTGACAGAACAGTGAATCCCAAAGTGAGTGCCTATTATTTACAGAACCTTCCTTTAAGGAACTGAGGCATTCGAAGGTTAATGGGACCTGCATATGATCACAGCACAGGCATACATGAGGGGTTTCCTCCTAGCTTCTAGAGAGGCATAAATAGCTAATTCATCCTGAGGTAGACCTGGCCCTGAGCTATTTATCACCAAACTTTTGAAATTACTCGAGAAGCCGCAGGCAAGAAATCATAAGAGCTTTTTGTGTCATTTCCAACTTACCCACATTTAAATAAGGAAAAAATACTAGCCACTTGGTATATAATCAAATCTGTACGGTAGACATGAAGTCGTTTCGCCCTGAAAACAGATACCAGTTAAGATGTTTTGAGGTTGGTGAAGCATTTGCATGTCACCATAAGAAGTAAGTGACCATATAAATAGTAGCAGCTCCAGTTTTTAACCTGTAGTTTGGGTCATTTATAATCCAATCTTCCAATTAATTTCCTTATAAACTAGTGCTATGGGAGAGGGTCTCTATACTTCCCACCCACCCATAATACAGCATTGCTCAAAGAATCCTTTAGCCCATAACCATTATTTTCCGTAGCGTATCTTATAATTCTTTGGGGTTTTCTTTCATGCCTCTCATATTCACATTGTGATATGAGATGAAAACTTATGAAGCAGCTGACATTAAAAGCAGCTGGACCTACTTTCGGTTCCAAGGAAGGAATAAAATGTCTAGTTGAACTTTATCAAATCATGGGCTGCTAATCTGATTTGAGGAAACTCAAATCCTCCAACTACTTTGGAGAGTCTAAGAATGCAACTAGGGTTTACTTGGCATTTCAGAAAGCTTTACAAATAAGGGAAATGAGCAGCTTCGGAAAGAAGCAAACATTGCCATAAATTTTGGGGTACCAGGGACTGGGGAGGGAGGCCAGTGGAATGCAGTGACCCTTGGAGGATGATCGCTATTAAATCTAATATAAAAAGTGAACTTTATTTTTGTTATCCAGTATATATAGGTCATAAGTAGAAGCTACGCTAGGTATGGAAAGTGGAGAAAAGATGGGAACTACTGGTGGAATAGGGACCTGTGCCATGCCCGCAAAACTCTCGGAAGAGGGTCATAATCAATAAGTAGAGAAGGAGAAGGAGAATCTTCAATGAGCATGGTGAGAATTAGCAGGGGAAGCAGTTCTTTTACTGAGTGTAGTCCATTCTTCTCTTTCGGGCCAGGCTCTCATGCTTCTTAAAGACAAAGGAGGCTGAAGCAACCTTAAGAGTCCACACATCACAAAAAGGGAATACCCGCTTTGGGAAGATGTAAGCAAGACATCTTCAGACAGCCAAGTAGCTAGATCTGCCCGACTGACTAATTTTGTAATTACCACAGTTGAGTATAAACATGCTAATCAAATATTCTGCCTCAGGGACCAACAGTTACAGGGTAGGATTTAGAAAGGCATGACCTCTCTCT